CAGAAAGCTTGTCAAATCTTCTTGAAACACGAATGTTCCTCGAAGGTCGATTATTATGCTGAATTAGTGAGATTTGAAAAGAACGACTTTGTTGTATCGTTAAACTAAGGTCTGCTTTAGTTTCCGTTATTACATCGCTAGAAAAGCCAGACAAAGTACTTTATTCTCAGTATATAATTGGCAATTGATGATATTGATGATGAGGCGTTGTTCAAGACTAGATTCGTTTTGTTGTTGTGTTAGCTGGCTTTCTTTAACATCTGCAGATAAATATCTTTCTGGTGTTCAATATTTATGAACCATACCTGATCGATCGGTCCCTTAAGCGACGAATCGGGTTTATTTCGTAAAAACTTAATTACAAATTTATTTATATAGACAAATTATTACAAAATATTTACCTAAAAACTAAATGCTTTTCCATAAATTCATGAATACACTCTTGTTTGATTGTCGTTGCATAAACATGCATAACTGTKAGAATAATATATTTTATTCATATTATTATTACTTTGTTGCTTTGTTATGTTGTTTGGTGCGTGTTTGTGATTGAAGAATAAACATGAGTGTTGCTCTGTAATGTTCATTACAACATTAAACAATACTCTGCAGTTTATGGTCTCATTCTTCTTTGTAGATATCGTACTTCAAACACCCTTTAATTTTAGCAAAGGGAAATCCCTTCAACTGAATTGCTTTGTCAGTTTTTATAGAATTTGCTGTTTCAAAAGTTTAATACRATATCTATGTTCAACTYCTATACAGGTGCTCCTAAAATAGTTGCTCCTTATCCAGATAATGTTTATGCTATTGAAGACGAGAAGACAAAAGTTCCCTGYATAGTGGAAGACACAGTTTCCAATCCAGATGAGATAATATTTGTGAGGAAGAGTCGTTTTGGTGACGTTGAACCCATAAGAGATGAAGGACCTGATGGACGCATCTATTATCAAAATGAAACCTTGGGTTAGTGATCATGAGCTCAAAGAGATTGCCTAAATTATAATATTGTTCAATTCTAATGATGCAAAAAGCACTAAAAAACCTCGGTTGGACCAAAAAAACTTTTAAATTTTATCAAAACCTGAAACCCTGAAACAATCACTTGACTTATCAAAGTCAGGGCACGGCTAATTTAMAAAAACCCTCACATCAAGAGAAGGACCTAACAAACTCTGCTGATATTTCTAGATGGTGGAAGAAAGTTACGTGTGACTCTGCATTTTAATAAAGTCATAATGAATGATGATTCAAGAAATGGCGGTTATGAATGCCAAGGACACACAGGAGGTAGTCAACATGAATATGGATTCACTGTCACTGTTATTGAAAGTAAGTAAATTCGTTTTATACATACAGTATATCAATAGGTTGAATTCACACTTTGTTTTTGCTGTCAAAATCTTAGAATTTTATCAAACTGCAATACAACCATTKGGCTAATCAAAGTCAGTGCACAGCTCACTAGAGGATGGAATCCTGAAACATCCACTGTTCTGATCAATATCATGGGCATCACTAACACACAGACTAAACCCAAAATGAATAGGAGAATCAGGATAAAAGCCYTCACACCAAGAGATAGACATCATGAATTCTGCTAACGTGATGCTGAGTCAGTCCAGAAATAAAATCTGAAACCTCTGCAGAGGTGAGAGGCAAATCGACTGATGCTACACTACCCTTGATTTAGAATAACTCTGTAAAATCCTCATCTTCATGACATATATGTTTTACATGCTTGATACTGTTTGATTATAACAGGAAGTGAGCTTCCAGGCATTGAAGTCTCTAACAATGTATCAGCAGAATTTGGAGATAATATTGTACTTAGTTGTAACCTTACCATCAGTCAAGCCACTTCTGCAAGGCAGACTGAACTAACCAAGCTGATGTGGGCCAAAGATGGTCGGCTCGTTGAAGAAGTTCTTTACCCAAGAGAACAGTCCCTTAAATCCCTCAAGATTGATGTGGACCGTCCTGAAGTTGGTGGTATCTACACTTGTCACTTGACATCCAAGCTTAGAAAAGTCAAGGAGTATAATGTTACTGGTAGCATCTATGTGTCAGGTATGAAATGTTTCTAATCGGTTACCGGTCATTTCGATCCAAACTCTTTTYGATCCAGGTCTTTTCAAACCACGTATACACACTTTCAAACCACCTATATACACTTTTGATCCACCTATATACACTTTCGATCCACCTATATAACTAAAGCATATAACAAGTCCTATATGCTGTGTACATGCAAAATGTTAAAGAGTATAGTTTAAAAAGTTGTCTTGAGTACCGATTAAAAGATTATGATCAAAAAATAAATCTCTTTATTGTTTCGTGATGTTTCTTTATTTTTATTCATTCCAAAGGTATTTTAAAACTTCTTGAATATAAAAAAGCTTTTTGCAGAAGATTCCAAAAATCAATTAATAACTTGTTACCAAAAATAAAGTTTACCGGTTTCATTGACGAGTGGACGGTAACACATGCGCTACAGTAATTGTCATGCGCTTGTCGCACAACAGCCATCATTCGCTTCTAATGTTGTTCACTTCTTCATGATATTCCTTCACTTTATTCACTAGGAGATTCATATTCATGAAGGGAGAAAACATTTATTCTTGGCTAAAGACTTTACGTTGGAAGTGACTATGGGTGCTAACTTAACTTCGTAAACGATAATACATCACACATGATCACACATGATACTTGGTTCCCTCAGTTGGTTTACTTGCTGAATTAGTTCACTTCTTCTGTGATATTTCTGTAATATTTCCGAAAGAAAACACTAAACATCTATAAAATATTTCATAACTGTATTGGATCGAATGTGTATGTATGTGAATCGAAAGTGTATATAGGTGGTTCAAAAAGACCTGGATCGAAAAAGACTTTGGATCGAAAAGACTGGTAACCTTCTAATCTAGGAGAGTTCTATCTCTTTCTTTATATCCAGAGAGAAATAAAAAGTGGAGAAAAAGACTGTATACTTGGGCGCATACACTTGCACATCTACTACTGTGGTCATAACTGAAAAAGAACTAGCCAGTGAAACCTGTTTGTTTTATTGGGGTTAACCTTTATTACTCAGTTCAAGGTTGAGGAAAAAAAAATGGATTGAGTTGGCCCACAATGTACTACAGTGCCAACTTGACCCAGGTTTTTCTTCATTTTCGGAAGGCTATTGGCAATGTTAAGCCAGTTAGCAGTATACCAATTTAACTTATATGTTACTTTTAAATGTTATATATATTGCTTAACTGACCTTGATAAGATAGATAGATACATGTAGATACTTTATTAACGTGTCAAGAAAATAACTAGCTGAGGGAAAACCCTCTACTAATAGGGGACACCTAAGGTATAATAATAAAATAAAATCATAAGATATACAATGATATTAATTAAGACACCTGTAAAATACTTTCAGTGAAACCCAAGTTCTTCACAGCAGACCTAAAAGACAATGAAATTGTAACCATGAAAGGAGAATCTGTAACATTTACTTGCTCTGCTGAAGGAAATCCTCTCCAGACTGAATGGAAAGAGAAACGACGATCTGCCTTACAAGCAAGTTTTATTGAAGGTACAGTAAAGACAAAAGGAGCAGGAAAGAGTGGGTGAGTAGGTATGGGGGAGGTGGGTAGGTAGGTTTGTGGGTAGGTACAAGGGAGGACAGGTGGACAGTGGGTAAGTAGGTATGAGGGTGGGTGAGGGTAGATATGAGGGTGGGTGGTGGGTAGGTATGAGGGTAGGTTAGTTGCTATCTTTGTGCTTTTTCTATTTCATAGATCTGTAATTCACTTGTTTGACTTTGTTTACTTTTTCAATCCAAGTTGGCAACTCATCTGATTATTGCTTGCTAAACATGGATAAGCTGAAAGGTCATTCGCTGCATATAGATAAGGTGGATTATTCCCATCGTGGTAGATATTACTGCTGTGTCAAGGAATCCAACAATACAAGAGAGGAAAAAGAGACTACGGACTGTCAAGTGTTCACTTTGAGAGTCAAAGGTTTGTTTGAAGGCCTGTTAATGTAGCATACTGTATGACTCAGTCTGCTGCTTGTGTAGTAAGTTAGACTGATTCTCAAAAAAAAATGTACAACCTTCTTAAAAGATATATGTGCAAGATAAACCTTTTTAAAAAAAATCTACAAAGCTTTTCACTGTCGTATCACAGCGTGGGACAATCACAACAGAGCTAGGCTCCAAACTAAGTGAAAGCCCAGAGATCCAATTAGAATTTAGAATTTGATTTTTGAGGAGGGAGGAAAACTGGAAGACCCGAGAAAAAACCCTCAAAGCACAGGAGAGAACCAACAAACAATTCTACTCACATACGACATCGAGATCGGCAGGACTCGAACTCGGGCCGCATTGGTGAGAGGCAGCGCATTAGCAGCGCACGCCACCAGTGCTTCCCATATTTTTATCATTATGACAGAGAGAAGAAAAGCATTTGGAGAGTTTTTCTGTAGAATTCTTATTTTACTTTCAAGTTTTCTTTTTTGTGTCAATACCTGTACATGTCATGCAGATTTCATTGGAATATCCAGTTTACTGTTTAAAAAAATATAGAAAATAGATCTTCAGTCTTTGAGGGTTAAACTGTATATGCTTTGCTTACCAGTAAATGTCTATTTTTTTCTTCTCAGATCCACTTGGACCCCTTTGGCCAGTTATTGGGATCATCATTGAAGTCATCCTACTTTTCATCATCATCTATGCTTCTGAAAGGATAAAGAGCAAGAAAAATAAATGTAAGAATTTACACCTTTTGCTGTTCATTAAGAGAAAATGTACATTCATTTGTGCCAATAGTTGTATCAATAACG